GCGGTGGCCGTCAGCGGCCACTGCACTCCAGTCTGGGCGACAGAGTGAGACTCCAACTCAAAAAAAAAAAAAAAATAAATAAATAAATAAATAAATAAATAAATATGGTAGCCGGGCAACGTGGCTCAGCCTGTAATCCCAGCACTTAGGGAGGCAGAGACAAGAGGGTTGCCTGAGTCCACAGGTTTGAGACAGTCCGGGCAACTTGGCAAGACCTCACCTCTACAATAAATAAATAAAAATTACCTGGGCATGGTAGCACATGTATGTGGTTCCAGTTACTTGGAAGGCTGAGGCAGAAGGATCACCTGATCCCAGCAGGTTGAGGCTGTGGTAGCTGTGAGTGTGCCACTACACTCCAGCCTAAGTGACAGAGTGAGACTCTGACTCAAAAAAAAAGAGTATAAATATGTTGTATTACTAAGGTGGCTAAATAAACTTATAAAACTTGCCAAAAATTTAACTGCTTGGGTGTTAACTTTTGAATATCCAGACTCTAAAGACTTTGCCTCTTTAGGAGTCTATAAATTATGAGTGATGGAAAGCCTTATATTTTGTTAAGGAATAGCCATTGGCTTTCTTGCCATGTTTTTGGGTTCATGGTCATAAATACATTTGCTTACAAAAAAAAAAAAAAAAAGGGCCACCATTGCCAAAATAAATAAATAAATAAAATGAGTGAGTGGTTTGAATAGATATGTCACCAGAGAAGATATATGGATGACAAATAAGCATGTGAGAAGGACTCAACACCATTAGTCATTAGGAAAATGCAAATCAAAACCACAATGAGATACTACTTCACACCCAATAAGTGCCTATAATCAAAAAGGGACAATAAGCATTGGTGAATAAATAGAGAAATTGGGACCCTCATACACCATGGTACATACCAACTAGAATGGTTAACTAAAAAGAATGACCATTCGTCACCCGCCTGGGCAGCGAGACCTCATCTCTACAATAAATCAAAAAATCAGCCGGGCGTGGTAGCGCACGCCTGTAATTCCGGCAACTCGGAAGGCTGAGGCGGAAGGATCGCTGGAGCCCAGCAGGTCGAGGTTGCAGTGGCCGTGGCCGGGAGCGGCCACTGCACTCCAGTCTGGGTGACAGAGTGAGACTCCAACTCAAAAAAAAAAAAAAAAAAAAAGAATGACCATAACAAGTGATGGTGAGGGCTGGGCTCAGTGGTTTAGCCTGTAATCCCAGCACTTTGGGAGGCTGAGGCAAGTGGATTGCCTGAGCCCGCAGGTTTGAGACCAGCCTGGGCAACATGGTGAGACCTCATCTCTACAATATATCAAAAATGAGCAGGGCATGGTAGCATGTGCCTGTACTTCCAGCTACTTGGAAGGCAGAGGCGGAAGGATCACTGGAGCCCAGCAGGTCAACACTGGGGTGGCTGTGAGTGTGCCACTGCACTCCAGCCTGGGTGACAGAGTGAGACTCCAACTCAAAAAAAAAACAAAAAAATAAGTGATGATTTAAAATGATGCAACCATTTTGGAAAACAGTCTGGAGGTTTCTCAAAAAAACCCACATATTTATCACATGACCTAGTCATTCACTCTTAGATATTTACACAAAAAAAGGTAAAATATATGTATATATGAAGACTTGTACATGAATATTCATGGCAATTTTATCCATGATGGTCAAAAACTGGAAAAATACCAGGTGACTAAGTTGTGATATATCTAAACAACTGCATACTGTCCAGCAATAAAAAAGAACAAACTACAAGCAAAAACATAGATTAATCTTTTTTGTTGTTGCTGTTGAGTTGGAGTCTTACTCTGTCACCCAGACTGGAGCGCAGTGGCCGCTCCCGGCCACTGCAACCTCGACCTGCTGGGCTCTGGCGATCCTTCTGCCTCAGCCTTCCGAGTAGCCGGAACTACAGGTGACCACTACCATGCCCGGTTCATTTTGATTTATTGTAGAGATGAGGTCTCACCAAGTTTCCCAGGCGGGTCTCGAACCCGCAGGCTCAGGCAATCCACTCATCTCAGCCTCCCAAAGCGCGGGATTACAGGCTGAGCCACTGAACCCAGCAAGGATTAATCTTTTTTAAAATTTATTTTTCATTTTTTGAGTTGGAGTCTCACTCTGTCGCCCAGGTTGGAGTGCAGTGGCAAGCTCATGGTCACCACAACCTTGACCTGCTGGGCTCTGGCAATCCTTCCTTCTGCCTCAGCCTTCCAAGCAGCTAAAACGACAGATGCATACTATCACACCCGGCTAATTTTTTATTTATTGTAGAGACGAGGTCTCGCCAAGTTGCCCTGGTTGGTTTTGAACTCCTGGACTCAGGCAATCCTCTTGCCTCAGCCACCCAAAGTGCTGGGATTGCAGGCTTGAGCCACCATACCCGGCCATGGATGAATAAGATAATTACACTGTTTAAAGAAGCCAGATAACCCCCCAAAAAGTATTTAGTGTATGATTCCACTTAAATAAAATTCTAGAAAATGCAAACTTAGTAACAAAAAGGAAGATTAGTGGTTTCCTGGGAATGGGAGGGTGGAAGGATCATAAAGGAGCATGAGGAAATTTTTAGGGGTGATGACACAGCCAGTATCTTGATTGTGGTGATGTTTTCATGGATATATACATAACTTATCAAATTGTACACCTTAAATACGTATTGATGGATACTGTGGCTCACACCTATAATCCCAGTGCTCTGGGGGCTGAGGTGGGAGGATTGCTTAAGTCCAGGCTAATTCTCGGCTGCCGGGAGCTATGACCATACCACTGCACTCCAGCCTGGGCAACAGAGTGAGACTCTGTCTCTAAAAAAAAAAAAGTATAGTTTCCTGGTTCATTGTATGTCAATTACACCTCAATAAAGTTGTCTAATCAAATACATGTAGATGCTAAGCACAAAATTCCCAACTGGGTCCTGAGAATGCCAATGGATGAAGCATTCACCAAAAGGCCAGTCTATCCCTGGAACTTGAAGATGAGCAAATCCCTAGCAGAATCACCAACATCAATAACAATTTGGGCACCACCTTCTTCTGCCATTTCTCTCCATCTCGGACCCTAGCCAGCTAGTTTCTGGAAGGATCCCTGGTCTGGGAAGAACATAATTCTGGCAGCCTCCCAGGCCAGTTCCTCTCTGGCTGCCTTTGGAAAGAGCTGAGCTGAGACTTGAGGTATTTTCACAGTGCAAGAAGAGAGTTGGACAAGAAGCCCTGAAGGAACCAGAAGGAGCTGGAGATGAGTTGGGGTGGGTGGCTATTCAGGAGAGCGATACAGGGGCTAGAAGGGAGCGAAGAGAACACTTCAATAATTCTCGTTTAAGGATAGAACGCCAAGACCTTCACTTTTAGTCACACGAAGTGGGGCTCTCCTCGAGCTTTCCTATTTCCCATCTACACGTATTCCCACCACCCACTTCCGGTCAGCCAAGTGGCCACTGTTCATGGAATAGGAGACAATGGCTTCCCTTTCCTTCAACGAAACTTTAGAGTTCCTATTAGAGTTCCTATTTATGATAACAATAGGACAGTCCTGAGGTCTAAAGGAGCTCAGCCTAGCAGAGACAGCCCTACACACACAACTGACTCTAATAATAAAAGCAAAACCGTAAGAAGTGTTATAAAAGAGGTGCTGCAGAGGAGGGGAAGCTTTCTGTCCGGAAAAGAGAGATAGGTGATGGGAGGGAATCGGGGAAGTCCTCATCCAGGAGCCCAAACTCCCCAGAACAGCAATAAACACCCTTTGGTAGGGGCTCAATAAATGTTAGGGTCCTCCCACCCTTCACATTCTGATTGCAGTCCAATTTTTTTTTTTTAGTCTACCAAGCCCCCTGGTCCTCAGCAGCAAGCTGGTTCATGCCACTTCGCTTCTGGCATCCGAAGGCCTCTTCTCCTGGAAGGAAATGTCCTTGCCGGAATGAACGAACGGTGACACGAAAAGCAACTCGGGAGGGCAGAAAGCCGACGGTAACAAGCGCACGGCTACGGAGGCCGGCCTCTGGCTCCTACCTGTAAAAAGGAGATCGTAATGAGGTTGATGTCATAAGGTTGTTGAAGGGACTAAAAGACATCCCCGTAAAACTCTTAGCATCGTGCCTGGCACGGAATGAGCGTTCACGAAATACTCGCCGTTGGTGCGGGCGGCGACCTGCTCGCCGGCCCCGCCGCGTCCCGCCTCGCGCAGAAGCCGCTCCCTGTCCGCCTCCCCGGCGCCCGGGGCACCCAGTGCGGCGCCCGCGCAACCACGTCGCCTCCTCTCCACCTGCCGCGCCCCCGGGTTTCCCAGACCGGACCCAGCGCTAGGCACCCGGAGCACCGGGCCGCGCCCCACGCCCTGCCCGCGCCCATCGATTGGCTTCTGCAGGTGCCCGTCCTCAGAGGTTGCTGCTGATTGGCTGAGCTGGGAAGGGAGGGGCGGGCCTCGAGGGAACGTAGGAAGGGCGGGGACCCGGATGTGTGTGGTGGTGGCGGCGGCCGAAGAGCTTGTGTGCGGAGCTGAGAGGCCTATGGATGAGGAGGACGCGG